GTAACAAACGTTGCAAGAAGTAATACGATCAAGGAGCCCATGGTGCGGGCTGGCACCATCTGAAACTTGTAAGGAAGGGAAATGGTAAATAGCGGCAAACGGAAAATGTGTTACTGATCTCAAAATCAGCAGCCATTGAAGACTTTTCACTCCTAGTGACGCGGATATTTGCGAAGCTAGTGACTTACACGAGTTAATTTTTTTCTAACCTCTCTAAAACATGGCATCATTTCTCCAAGACTTGGCCAGTGTAACTGCCACCAAGACAGGCCATAAACTTCAGGACTCCAGGAACACCAGGGACTGCACTTCGACAGCAGTTGGCTCTCCACACCCTGATGGCTTTGACTGCCAGGAAGGGGTGGGCGGGTAATTAGACTGAAATGAGTTGTTTTCTCCCCCTCTGCAGAAGTTCTCTTCCTGCCTCTGCTTTCCATAAGACCTTGGCTTTGGTCGTTGATCCCTTGGGCGACAGAGGCCGGTTCCCTTCTTCTGTCACTATTCCCTCCCACTCGAATTCAGGCAGAGTCCACTAGCATAGTCCTAAACCCCCAAGTGCCCTAAAAGTGGGGTGCGATCCTGAAGTAAGGTACAGCCCTGTCCCACCAGCCTCACTGCAAGCCCACACTGCCACCTGCTGGCTGCCTCCCGTCACTGTTCAAAGCAAATGAGTCAGCCCCTGAAACTCCCTTCTTCCACTTTCTAACCCACTGCCTGCGGACACTCATTATTGAAGACAGAACTTGTTTTGGTTCTGGGCTTGTCCTCTACCCTTGGGATGTTCCATGAGGTTTAAGTCATTCAAGTACCCCATTTTCAGGAATCACTCCTGCCTCCATATCTCTCTGGCCACAGCCAGACACCTAAATGCCCCTTGCTGTGTGCAAAATAATCACCCCCCTGTCCTTCTAGACACCACTGTGTACGGCTCAGGTGCCACCTCTGTGCTCTGAGACCCCTGCTCCTGGGAATGAATGTAGCAGCCTTCATGGTGACGGTGCCCAGGCCACGTGGTGCCCGTGGTGACCCCAATCAGAACCACGCCACGCTGACACCCAGTTCCAACAGCAAATACACTCAGGATGCCCCTGGCCCAAGGCACTATTGAGCTCGGTGTTTTCCACCTCCTCCATCCACAACGTGCCTTGTGTCCACATATGGTGCCACATCCAAAGTCCTTGTGCACACTCCTACAAGGTCCTTGTGCACACTCCTACAAGGTCCTTGTGCACACTCCTACAAGGTCCTTGTGCACACTCCTACAAGGAGACTGGCTGCCTCCCTCTGCCAGAGGCCTGAGGGGTCAGGCCAAGGAGAGCACCCTGGGCCCCAAGGAGATGGGAAGTGAAGTCAAATTCCCAGGATGGTGGGAACGGGAGGAGGGGCAGGACCAGGCCCTGGGACAGGATGTGGACGCAAGGGGCTGATGAGGAAGGTGACCCCGGGAGTACCACCACAGAGTGGGCAGTGAAACCAGGAAAGGAAGGAAGCCCATGCAGGGTGTCGTCATGCTGGTCACCACTGTGGGCAACTGAGCTCCATCCCCTTGGCAACTCCGAGGAGCTCGCCTTAAAGTTAGTCAGCTGACAGAGAGGGAAATGGATTACTCACGCGCGGCTCTCAGACTCTCAAGGGTCATTGTCTGAGGCTGCTCTTCAGTGAACGTTAATCCCTGCCCCTCGTGCGCTGAGCAGGCACCTCTGGCCAAAGAAAGTCTTCAGACAGGGAAGCTGCAGCTGATTGCTGATGAGGCCACCGCCACGGTCAGCACAAGATGCTGCCGGACGAGTAAGCACGGCCTCCAGACAGGGCACCCACAGCACCTGCCACACATGAGCAGCAGAATCACCCGAGGGAGGGAGGAACGAGGGTTGATGCCAAGCACGGCCGTCCAGAGCCTCCTGTCAGAACACCCACTGGCTTGCACCAGCCGAGCCCACCCACGTATACACACAGGGGTCTCTCAGACCAGCTTCCTAGAGAGACCCTCGGGCGCACACCCGTATGCAGCATCACGCAGCTCACACCACCTGAGGTCTGTATGCGTTGGCTCAGATGGCTTCATTGCACACACACTGTGCCCCTCACACTCAGAGCTCACACACTCAGGGGTCCCACATGCACACCCCAAGGGCACCCATACTCACGCTCAGGCGTCATCATCGGTGTCCCCCAAAGACTGACTAGGCTGGGGGCATGAGCAATGGAAGCACAGGCAGCGTTATCATCTGAGAGAGCAAATCCTCCGTCTGGGCTCTGCTCTGCTCGACCTCACAGCGCCCCTCCCCAAGCCCAGGTGAACTCTCTCAAGTAGAACCAATTGCCTGGGGCAGGCCTGGTGCTTCTGAGCAGGGAGGGGGCGGGGCACGCCTTTGCCCCCAGGGTTGCAGCCCAGCTGTGCCCGCTCAGCATCTCTCCAAGGAATCCCAGGTCTGCAGGGCCTCAGGCCCTGTGGTCACAGCCTCAGCCAGACCACAGCTAGGGCATCCCCACCAGCCTGACTCCTGTGACCTTGAGCCAGGCCCTTTCCTTCTCTGGGCCTCAGGACCCCATCCCCCATCAGCCTATCCTAAGTCAAAGCACCCGCCACAAATCTCCAGCATCCCCTCTCCTCCCTCTGCCCCCTGCGTTGTCCCCAAAGCAAGTCACCCCAGCAGGCAGAGAAAGTAGGTTCTCACTAAGGCACTCGCTCCCCTGAGGGCCCAGAAAGTGTGAATAACGCGATTAACACTAAATCCACAGTTCAAGAGAAGCAGTGGTCCAATGGGGGGAGGAAGCTGGCATTGGAGAAGCGGAGCTGACCCACCTGCGAGAGGGCAGGGAGGGGAATGGATCCAGGCAAACTGCCAGCGCTCTCCCCCCATGATCTTGGACCACCCTGGAGAGACTGGGGTGGAAGGCAGTTCACAGACATGACGGGGTTCCCAAGAGCCGAGGATTAAGATGTCCAGAATGAGTGAAGTGTTTAAATCATAGGTAACCAAAAGCAATAGGAGAATCACATGGGAGCGGGGGTTAAATTGTGTGTACCAGTTTGTTAAACTTTGGTTTAGCATCTCCAGGCCCCTCCTCAGAGAGCAAATGAGGCCAAGAAGAGAGACAGAGAAAGAGAAAATTAAAACCCTTTTGTTTTAAACCTCCCCGGGACCCGATTCCATTATCTGGTGACCAGCCCTTCAAGATAATTCAGTGGCCTGGGACCCATCCCCAAACCTGCCACTTCTATTCGGTGATCTTACAAATATTTGGTATTATGGAAAAAGCATGGCCTTGGGTATCAGATAGACTTGGTGTAGTAAGCTGAATAATGGCCCCCCAAAGATGTCCAGGTCCTGTTCCCCAGAACCAGTGAATATGTTACCTTCCATGGCAAAGGGACGTTGCAGGTGTGATTAAAGACCTTGAGATGAGGCAATTATCCTGGATTGTCCAGGTGGGCCCAGCGTAATCACAAGGGTCCTTATGAGAGGGAAGCCACAGGGTCATAGAGAAGATGTGATAAACTGAAGCAGAATGAAGAGAGAAGTGAGAGATTTCAAGATGCTATACTGCTGACTTTGAAGATGGAGGAAGGGGCCACAGCCAGGGAATGCAGGTAGCCTCCAGAAACTGGAAAAAACGAGGAAACGGATTCTCCCCTAGAACCTCCAAAAGGAAGCAGCCCAATGAGACTGATTTTGGGCTTCTCACCTCTAGAATTATAAGATAATAAATTTGTGTTGTTTTAAGCCATTAAATTTGCAGTAATTTGTTACAGCAGCAATAAGAAACTAATATACTTGGGTTTTAATCCCAGCTCTTACCCTCCCTGCCTCAGTCTCCTCATTCATAAAATGGGAGGAAAGGGGATTTGGCCTAGTGATGGACAAGGGCCTCTCTGGCTCTCTTTGGCCCCAGGCTGTCAGGATGACAAACGACCACCAGCATGCTCCCACCCACCTTGGCCTGCACAGCCCTGACCTATGTCTCCTACCCAGAAGGGTGGTCACATGTGACCTGGACTAGTTACCTAAACTTGCTGAGGTTCAGGATCAGATGAACTAATGTGTGTAAAAGAGTAGCATCCCCACCACTGGACCTAAAAAATGACTAACCTAGACCAGCCTCCAGAGGGAGAGTTGCTACTCACTGGGAGACCCATTTCCAAGTAGCACTCCCATGAGGAAGTAAATTCCCAACCAGAGGGGTAGGAACTGCCCTGGCCACAGAGCTCGGAAAAGATTGCAGGGGGCAGGAGAGTCGGGGGCAGGAAGCAAACAGACCCCAGGTGTGGTGAGCCCAGGTCTGAGGCCGCTCCAAGGCCAAGCACCGGGCAGATGCCCTTCCTGATGATTGGAGGGGCAGGAGGCCAGCAGAGTCTCACAGAAAGCAAAGGATGGTCAAGAACCAAGTCTTCCTGGGCTGTGTTACTACAAGGTCACGGCCAGCTCCTACACACACACACACACACACACACACACACACACACACACACACACA